ACACACACACACACACACACACACACACACACACACACACACACACACACAGGCTGCCTTTGTGGGCCAAGGGCAAATGCCACACCCCAACCTTGGAGAGTGGCATTCAGTTCCCAGTGATTCCTACAGAGTAAATAAAAAAAGTCAAGGATATCATCCTTCAAAATGATGCTTTGTGGAGGTTTACAGTGAAGAATTGGTCAATCACACAAACACACACACATGCCCCAGGATCTCACTGCAGAGTTAGGGTTGTGCAGCACACGATCTTCACCAGATGACACTAAGCAAACCTTTTTTCAACAGGAGCACATTTGAAGCATTATCAGGTCACCATGTGTGGGGAGTTCACATACTGACTGTACAGTCACAGCAAAGAGCTGTGGCCACAATGCGATCAGCATGTTTTCACTGCAGACCTCCACAGTCATCACCGCAAAACACTGAGTGCACATGGGAGGAGGTTTCAAACTACAGAGCTGACTTTTTGCTGTTAAGGCAGGATGGGAATTAGCAGAGGACAATAAATCTCTCTTCATGTGACATAGTTTTTTTACTTTTTCTACAACACACTGCAGTAAAAGAAGTCATCACAATAGAAGCACATTCCTGCTGCATGAGGGACAAATATACACTGTTTACCCTACTTCAACCACTGGATTGGTTTTGGCCAGGTTTCAAAAACCAGAACTCCATCATTTGTGAAGTCATCCCACCCATTTAGTGTCCTCTCCTGTTTTTTTACAAGGCAAGAGAAAGACACTGACACTTTGAATCTGAACTCTACGTACACACACAACATGTTTTCACACCAAGAGAAACTGTTAGGGCATGTGCTTGTCTGTCAATCTGATGAGTCTGATTCTAATAAGTCAACACCTCAAACAAAGGATTTGTGACTAACAGCTAATGCCGGAGGGGCACATCTCCGCTCATGTTATCTTCAGGGACACAGGACGTTTGGAGAATAGAAGTAAAGAGTTCTGGGAAAAGGGGTTTCCAGATTGATCCATTAGAATCATCATGATGTATTGGTGTTCTGTATTTACATGGTGAAAATATAGTTGAATAAATGTCAAATATTTTCCCGCTTGTTTTGCTCATTCACATAACTAAGAAAGTGTAAAAAAAAAGTAGGTTGAGTGAAATTATTCCAAGGGAGGTACATGAGGGGGTCCCTGGTACACTCTATCTTGTAGCTTGAATGAGAAATAAATTGAGAGCTTATGTCCGAGTGTGTCTGCTGGTTGGAGGAGGATGATAATGTATGGGTCCTACTTGTACAACATAGTCACATAGTTAAAATCATTCAGAGTCTTGAAGAAAGAAAGATAATCGACTAGAACGTCAAGGCCCAACAGTGCCCTTGTAAAACTACATTTCAATTCACCAGATCTGGATTTCTATTTGGATCTGCACCAAATTACAAACACTCATAAATATCAGTCTCTTAAACGTGATTGTTTTCCATGGATTTTTCTCTGAGGAATCGACAAAAATTATAATACAACACCCTATCTTGCAAGACCCTGATCTGGACACACCAAAATGTTATGGCTTCTGTCCTGACCTAAACCATAGACAGTACGTTCACCAAGTTTCATGGTTATCTGTCCGCTAGTTTTTACAAAATCCTACTAATTAACAAGAAAAACATAAGGTAATAATGTGATGGTGAAATAATGCATAATATTAAAATTATATGTATCATTGAAACAGAAGAAATGTACAGAAGTTGCTTTTGTATTATTATATTTCACATATAATAATTTATTATTATTTAACTCCTAATAAAACTTATTTAAGGGCTAAGCCAAGTGGACACTCTTCATCTTTAATACTATACTCATCAGTACTATTATTGTTTTCTGACACCACAGACTGAAGCACTGACATGATGTGTCAGTGTCACTGTGATGAGGTTGATCTGCTGCATGTTGTATGTTTGTGTGTGTGCAATGACACACACATAGTGGCAGTGGCACTCGGTCACACTGGCAGGCTCTCCCAGCTCACAGGGACCATAACAGAGGAATCCCAGTGAGAGAGGTGTGTTTTTTTAGCCCATTGCTTAGCACCAGCCGGTAGCACCTGATCAACTTCCAACTCTAAATGGGTTGCAGATCCCGAGGTTCATGCCATGTGTTACCTCTCCCTCCGTCAGTCTGCCAGGCTGATTGAATAACATCTCATATTGAGTGCCCAGATGTAAAACTGATTTATGTTCCTTTCAGCATTCCTTCAGCCTTCACCTTTTTTTTTTCTTCAGCTCCATCTCTCTCTTTCTCTCTTTGATGCTGGATACCCTTATCTAACCTGAACCTCTACATCTATATTGACCATATACAATCATACAGCTGAGCATTTCTTCTGCATTCTATAATTTCTGTAATCTAGACACAGCATGACTTTGGCATTAGTAGTCTACCATGCAGACATGTCTTGCTTTCTCATTTCTCTTCACGTGTCTTTGTATTCTTTACTGTTCTTACCACACACACACACACAAACACTTTCCCCCACTCGGGCAAAGCCCTTTAACTTCTCTGAACTCTCACTTTTCACTTCACCCTCTTGATTTTATTATAGCCTGCTCCATCTGGTAATTATGACTGACTGTGGAATGCTACACACACACACACACTCATACACACATACACACACACACACACACACACATACATGCATATACATGATCCCATCAGCTCCTGCCTTCTCCTGCAGGTACATGTATCGCTTCTCCCTGTTGTGCATAGAAGACAGCTGAAGATATCTTTTCAATATGTCTGGATTAAAGTTGGCATAGCTCAAGAGAGATTGTGACTCTTAGATATATATATATATTAAGCAGCACAGTGAGCTTTCTGACATTCTTTCAATTGACCGACAAGGCAAGACACTTCACTGCTCAGCCACAGCATGCATCAGCACCATTAAAACACACCAAATAAGCACAGACGTGCACACACACACACACACACACACACACACACACACACACAAATACTGGCAGCACATGAACGCATGTGCATTCACACCAATGCGCACTCCACAGTAAGAGCACATTCCTCTTCTGTTATGGCAGCCCCTTGCAAAACCAACACACCTCCCTGCATGCACACACACATTCAAACCTGTATTATAATGTAACACACACACATTATACGTTTTACTATGATTGAATATTATATTGAAAAACTTGTTTAAAAATGTGGAATTGCAATGTAGAATATTTTTTTATCTACATTATCATCTCAAATATATCATCTTAAAATCCTGTCTGTGATTACAACTCACAAGAATAA